CAAGCGAAGCCCCAAAATGTTAGGGCCCGCTATTCTACAGTATTGTGATTTCCCATATGGGGGCAGCACTGATCTAATAGTCCAGTTTCCCGTGATGCTATAGGGCTTTGGCTTGGGAAACAGAACTGTTTAACTTTTGGCATGACTCTTGTGTAAAAAAAAAAATCCATGGAGGCATTTTTGCAGTATCTCTTATGAAGCTGTAGATCAGTATATTTTCTCTTTCTTTTATGGAGGAAGCCTCTATTTTTAATACTTTTTTCTGACATGTCATTTTTTGCCCTGCTGCTATTGATTGACTAATATATTTTTAAAATGAGCTAAACATAAATACCGTATTTTTTCGTGTATAGAAAACGCTATTTTTTTCCCTGCAAACACCCTGTTCAAAACTCAGGTGTGTCTTATACAAGTGCAGCGTCTTATGCATGGAAAAATAACGGCAACCTCCACAACCCAGAACATGCCTGTGTGGGTTGCCATGCCGCCTGGTGCAGGTGTCAAGCCCCTGTGGGCTTGCCACTAACGGGAGGGGGGAGGGGGCAAGATCGTCGGCCGTCCGAACTTCCGGATTTGCCGGCTCAGCTGCCGCCGAACAGCTGATCGGCATGGAGAAACTCGCATGCCAGAGCGTCTTATATAAGGGTGCGTCTTATAGACGGAAAAATACGGTAAATGTTTTGCTTGGGCAGTTTGGGAATTCTTTTCAAGTTCTGAATTTGTAGCTCTTGATGGATGGCTGCTTGGTTTCTGAGAAGCTGTTGTGCACACAGAGGGCAAATGCAGAGTTAGGATGGCCTGTTTGGTTCCTAGTGCTTCATTTATTTACCCTCATTATGTGGTTTACTAGCCCTAGTTTTGTAAAAAACCGGGGGGTTTTCCTGTTTGCTTCTAAATCAGGAGTGTCCAAGCTTGGCAATTTTAAGATTTTTGAACTTCAACTCCCAGAATTCGTCAGCCAGTTGAAGTCCACAGGTCTTAAAGTTGCCAAGGTTGGATACCCCTGCTTTAAATGTATTATACCACAGGGGTTTTCAACCCCCGGGTTCCTGGGCCTATACTGGGCAATAGCCCGTTGAGAATCAGGCCGCACAAGTGACGGGCGAGTGCGCAAGCACACAAAGCTCCATTTGCGCAAGTGGTGTACATGCGTGTGAGACCATCCCCTCTCCCCGCCTGCCACTGCCACTGCCACTGCTGCCACTGCCGGGTCCAGAAAAGTTGGGGACCGCTGCTGTACGACATGTAGAGGAGATGACCACATATCATGCATGAGTAAGTAGATGAAATGATTCCTTCTTTTTTATATATATACAAATTTTATTAAAACTTTTAAACCAGAAGATAAAAACTAACACAAACTAATAGGAGGGAAAAAAGAAATAAAAGAAAAAGCAAAAAGTGCAAGAAAAGAATTTTTTTTGAAGAAAAATAGAAAAGATATAAACAGTTTTCAATATTCATGACAGCAGTTATAAATTCAAATATATTTTAACCTCTCTCTCTAAAGTTGCATCATATTACTATTCTTTCTATCTGTCCTGTCTAATCATCATAGACATAGATCCCAAGTTTGGTTTTTTTTGTATTTTTATGCAAAAAGTCCATAAGAGGCTTGCAGTCACCAATAAATGTAGACAATTTCTCTTCTCTAATCAAAGAAGTTAATTTACCCCTTTCAGCAAAATCTATCAACTTCACCAACCCTTCCTCCATAGCAGGTAATGCTGAATCTCTCTGTGCACATAGTAATTTCACTGCGGTAATCATATACTGAAATAATCTTCCATGGCTTTTTTCTAACACTTTATTCATTAGTCCTAAAAAGAAAATGCTGGCTTCTATTGAATATTGATCTTTGAAATCCTCTGTGTAAAAAAAGTATTATTTGAATCCAATTTTACATGCACGATAAAATGTCCCTTCATGCTGTTCACATTTCCAGCATACATCTGAAGCGCCTTTATACATTCTACATAATTTCTCTGCTATCATGTACCAACAACACATCATTTTAGAAAAAAAATCTGAGATCATAACGCAATGTAAATTTCAACCCTTTAAGCCACAATTTCCCACTGCTCTGTCTCTATATTATAATCAAAATTCTTAGTTCATTAATATTTAATGAAATAAAAATACAATAATTAGTATCCTTGTGCTATTAATTTGCTCTCTTCATTTGATATTGAATTCTTCTTGTTAATTTTCCAGTAAGTCCTGTGGTACATCAACCGTTCAGCTTCCTCTGCCAGGTCTCTTATGCTTCTTGTACTGAGATCCATAAAGGTACTTTTAGGCACAACCTGGGTTTGTATCTATTCCATATTCTCAATATGGCACATCTAATAACACGATTTTTAAAGTCCACATTAATTTTAATTTTATCATATGATAAATATCCATCCATCCAAACCTCGGGTCATGATCTTCTAACTTAAAAGACTAGTCTCTCAGCAACCTCAATTTTTTTCATCCAGATCAAACAAGCAGGGAAATACAATTTCAAATATGGTAAACCCAATCCTTCTCTTTCTTTTGAATCTTATAACAATTTATATTTAACCTGTGGGGTTTTTTCCCTGTTCTGTTTGTCACAGGGTCTTTTACACATACCCAAGTTAGTAGGCTCCAAAACACAAGAGAGCCAATATAACAAACCAGATCCCTAAGCAACACGCATTCAAAGGCTAATATTAATTGCTCCATTCTTTCCCACTTCTACTACACCTCCTCCTACTGCTCCTCCAACTACTACTACTGGTGAGTCCTGCTGGAGAACAGTATCTTTTTCTATCTGCTTTAGACTGCTTCAGGCTACTTTATTTCCACAGATGAACACATATTTCCTTCCCTCTCTGGACACACCAACAGCACTATAACCAGCTGCCTATCTGCTCAGCTTTTATAGCCAACAGTTGCTTTTGCTGGCTAGAGAGAGGCCCTAAAGGAACAAGGCAACAGCAGAATATATGCTGGCTATCTTGTAGGCAGCCTGTCCTCTCACACCATATAAGTTTAAATATATTTTTTGCCATTGTTTAAAATGATACATCTGTTGTCAAAATAGATATTGTCCAAAATAAAAACCTCATTCTTAGCAAAACCTTGATTTTTATCATAGAAATTCTCCCCGTGATAAATTTTAATTTCTCCTAGCTTAACATGTCCTTCTTAATTTCAGTCTAGATATCAACACAGTGTAATTATTTTGAAATAACACTGAATTCATATTTGTCACAATAATGCCCTATATTTTACATTTTTTCCTCAGTCTTAAAAATAGTTTTCTCCAGCAATTCTATATAAGATCTTCTAATTTTCTATTTTTTTTGTTAACATCGAGAAATGATTCATTCTTATTTGCTCTATGAGAACTGAATGTATGCTGCAGAGAAACAAAAGGGAAATTGGATTTAGTTCAGAAAGTAAAAAAAAGAAATATTTAAAGACAAGTCCTATGGTTTTTATGTTTCAAAAAATAAATAAATATAACCTTCATATATTTCTTCAACTTGGTAATATCACATCCAAGACCAATCACTCTGCTGCTCTACAGATGTGACCTCAGCTTTTGACTTCAGAGAGAGGATTGTAAGATTTAACTGTGGCAGACATTTTGTAGGTCTGGGAGTGATAACTCTAGAGCAGGGATCTCCAAACTTGGCCGCTTTAAGACTTATGGACTTCAACTCCCAGAATTCTTCAGCCAGGAATTCTGGGAATTGAAGCCCACAAGTCTTAAAGCAGCCATGTTTGAAGACCCCTGCTCTAGAGCAGGGGTCCCCAACCTCCGGTTGTTGGACCGGTACCGGGCTGCGGCATGCCAACAACCGGTCCACACAAACGAGCAAAGCTCTATTTGTGGGATGCAGGCAGCACACAAAACCATGCCCTCTCCAGTCCGTGGAAAAACCTTTCTCCATGGAACCGGTCCCTGGTGCCCAAAAGGTCGGGGACCTCTGCTCTAGAGGGCCCCTGGAGACCTTGCTTTTTCATATTTTAGATGGCAGAGTAAAGAATGAGAAGTAGGAGGGCTCTGGAAGGTAAACTACTCCCATTCTCATTTTTTTTTTAAAAAAAAGTGAAAACTATCCAAAATTGTTCTGTTGATTTTTTGCTTTTGAAGACCTGAAAGAGCTGATCGTCATAGAAGAAAATCTATTACATTGACCTGATGACACATAATCAATCAATTCAGAACTTTTTGTATGGCGTGTGTATGTGTGTTAAAAAAAAGAAAATAAAGCATTTGACTCTACTTCTCGTCTTTAAAAGAAAGAGAAGAAAAGAAACAATGAAAGAGGGAAAGAGGAAAAAAGACAGAAATGCACTGCTGAAAATTAGCTATTTTGTTACTTCTTTTCAGTAATACATTCTGGAGCTGCTAGGGAGTTGCAGAATGGTTGCTGGGGAATTCTCCCTATCTTAATTTAGGATATTATCTGGAAATCCCAGCATCTCTCCCTTTCCCTATCTAAGGGCTGGGATCACTAGCGAGGCAATGTTCTTGGGAAAATAATCCCCATTATAAGCTTATGCATATTAAATGTAACTTTCTTGGGAAGGAAAAAAGTATAAATTGAAAAGAGAGCAAGGGGGGGGGGTGTTCCTTCCCAATCCCGCCCATTTTCAAATTCTAATTCTCCTCTATCTACTTTTCTTCCACAGCTTTTCCACCAAAGATTGGGAGGAAAAGACGCTAGGCATATTCTTAAGGTACATTTGAGGACGGAGGGGATTGGAGTTGAGAAATTCCATGCAAGGGAGACATTAAATCTACACTCTTTCTTCTGTCATACCCACCACACTTTCTATCCTGGGGATTAGAGTCTACTACCAATATTGGCAAGTAACTTTCTCTAGCATTAATTCCTTAGCCTGACCAAGAATTGAGAAAGTATCCATAAAGGTGGCGACATTTTCTGAATCACCCCAAGGCAGAGTTTTACTTTGTCTTTGGAGTATCGTTTTCTTCTTGGCTTCCCCAAACGTTACGACTATTCATCTTTTCTCTTAGCCTTGTCTGGCTTCTTCTTGAGCCCCGCTGCTTCCTCGCTTTTCTTCTCTTCTTTAAGCTGCTTGTATCGCCACTTCGGCACCTGCAGGGCATTCTTGTTTTTAATCTTGGGTGGTTGGTTCTCCTCAGGAGCCGACTGGGAAGAAGACTTGGTGAGCGTTAGTTTTGGAGTCGTGCTGTTGAATCGCTTAGGAAGGGATAGAAACTTCACAATGGGACTAGGGGATTGATAGGGTATCAGGGTTTGGGTCCTGAACTGGCCACTGCTGCATGATCTGCTATTTACTGATTTGGCATCAGGATCAGGTACATATCGGTTGAGAATTTCTGGCACTGAGCGTCTCTGCTTGCCCACTTCTGGGGGGCTGTCAGGACAGAGAGTTCGACAAGCAGTGGTCACAAATGGGCTGGCCAAGGACGTGGTCATGCGCACCATGTGATCCATCACCCCATCCATCTCAGCATCTTGTGGGAACTGGATGGTAAACATGGAGCAAATGAGATCACACAGACGCTTGGCTCTTGATTTTGTAGCCGTCGCTTGGGCCACCAGTTCAGGCAGATGGGGCCACTCTGGCAAGTACTTGTTAGAGAATTGCTGGGCACAGGGGCGTTGCAAAAGGATTCTGATCCGCATGATAGTTTCAAAACATCCAGTTATGGCTGCCCATTCCTGTGCGGTCTTTCCTTTCACGGGATCCACAGCGGCAATATCAGCTCCTAGGAGAAAGCACACAGGATGAGACGCCCAGCGGTGTTTCATTCCCAAGTCCACACTTGCATTTCCATAGAGCTGCTGCCCCAGAGGTCTTGTTTTAGAGTTGCTTTCACCATCCCATTTTGAGATTCATGTGACAAGGGAGGAGAAACTGGGGCCCTTTACATACCTGAAAGTTGTTTTGCGTCCTGTGCGAATTCTTTTTTCTCCAGGGATATATTTTTTGCACATCTGGGTTGTACAACTGAGTTGTGCATTGAGTGGAAAATTCCTTGCCCACCTTTCCCTTTGAAGGTGAAAGCGGCTTCTACAGGAACATATGTGAACATGTATGTTTATACGTGAAAGTGTGTGAGAGAACATGTGATTTCCTTAGGATTATGGTGGAGAAGAACTGATTAAAAAAAACCCCCATTGCCTGATAATATAGATTCAAGAAAAGAATGTATGCGATTATGTTTAGAATTGAATAGTAGGCCCAGTTCCCTCCAAAGATTACCATTAGGTCACCTTGTGTAAGTCATCAAATATAAATATGTAAACAAAATGATAAAAAGGATTAAGGATTCTTGTGGTTCCTGTCAGCAAGCAGAGGGAAGAAGGTGTACGTTTTTTGGTTGTTTTTTTTTAAATGACATATGTAGAGTGAGATCAAATGGAAGACAGAACTGGTGGTTCTTATCATTAGTTGGATTGGGGTAGAATTCTGGAAGTCAAGAGTTTGATTAATGTAGATTATTTAGTATGACAAAATATCTATCAAAAGCTTCTGATTTGGGTGGGGAAATCTTTTTGAACTTAGATGTGAATGAACATTTTGCTTTATTGGTTTTTAATTGAGAATAGACACTTTTTTAGCAAGAGAACTGGGTACTATTATGTATGTTTCACAGATTAAGTAGCAAGATGAGAACAACCAACAACCAACAATCAATTGTTCATTTAAGTAAGACCTTCCAAAATGTTCCAAGATACTTCTCAACACTTGATGTCTTTGGGCAAGCGCCAGAATCCTGGTAGAGTCCACAAATAAGGGAGCACTGAATCCAGAATAATTAGGCCTACCTGTACACTAGTTGCTGTTTTTATTTCCCACAATATAGCAACACTGTGTACACATGGAATGTGTAGCAGGAGAATCTGCTGGGAGTATAGCCAGACTTGCCATTGTTATGAGTTTTTGAGGAGCTGTGCAATGAAAGACCCTATGTGAGATGAAAAATTAGATAGATAGACAGACAGACAGAGACACACATACACACAGACACATACCAGGGGAACTTTCCTGCTACGCTGCATCATTCCTGCCCTTGGGCTTAACAGCTCTTTCCTCCATTTTTTTATTTTTTCTGCCATTTCTGGACAGCTGAAGTGAACACATTCTGAAAATGTCTAAAGCCCTTCTGGTTCATGCAGATAGTGAGAATGAATTTGGCTTTTTAAATTTCCCTTGCCCCTTTGCTTGCAGTTTCTAACAGATGGCTAAATGCACAGATCGAGTACCTTATCAAAATCATCACCACCTCAGCAGTCCTATGATTGGGTGGCGGGTGAAGCTGAGAAAGTGTAAGGAAGACAGACTTCCTCCTAATGGGAAATGTGGACTGTGTCTTCCAGCTGCTAGCCAGAACAGAGGCAAGGGGAACTAGCAAAAGGAACAGCAACATCTAATTTGGCTTAGTTTCCCATAGGCCCTCTGAGGGTAGAAACTACTTTACTGAGTGATGGGGAAGAGATCATGATATTGAACTTGTGGTGATCCTATTGCTGTTGGCCGGCTTATGCAAAATAACAACCGAAGCAGACATTCCCCATCATCCAGAGGCTCTTTCCCTTCCCAGAGCTGACCACATTTCCAAACAACATGTGGGTTTTTTTTTTCACTCAGCTTTCACCTCCCTTCCCTCAGAAACCCATTTTTGTTGGCCTTGAAATATGAGCAGAGATAAGGAACATTAGGAGCCAATCCATTTCCCCTCCAGCTGATCAACAGAAAAATATTTTTTTAAAAAAAAGGGTAAAGGCACACCGAGCAACCATGATTTCCAGAATGATAAAAAATCCCCTGCACGCAGAAGAACATAAATTGATCCCCGGGCCTGCAATACATTCAATATATATTCTGTGCAAAAATATAGAAGATATGTAAAAAAAATTGCATATGTAAAAAATATGAGTAGTAACTGCTTTCCTTCCATTTCTGTTTAAAAGGCTCTGGGAGTCGAAGTCCACGCCTCTTCGAGTTGGCAAGGTTGAGGAAAACTGTCATAGAGGGATAGCAACCTGGTTCTTTTCGCAATAGTTCTAATCATGGTACAACGTCCCTGTGTGTAGAATAATGGCTTCCTTGACCCCAGGACTAAGGCAGGAGTTCTAGGCAGGCTGCTTATCAGTGTGTGAAACTGGCTACAAAAGTATTAAAGGCTTAGAGTGGGCTAACAGTTTTCCTTTCAAGCCTCAGCCCTGCAAAAAAGAAAGAAAGAAAAAAGAAAAGAAAGAAAGAAAAGAAAGAAAGAAAGAAAGAAAGAAAGAAAGAAAGAAAGAAAGAAAGAAAGAAAGAAAGAAAGAAAGAAAGAAAGAAGTCTAGCTTTGTCCAATTTCAGATGAATAGCACAGGGCTAGAAAAACATTGATTCAGCCTGCAAAAAGAAGTAATATCAAGGGAATGACCAAACCTGTAATATCTAAAAAAAAGTGTTTCTCAACCTTAGCAACTCTAAAATATGTGGAGCAACTCCCAGAATTCCCCAGTGAGCATGCTGGCTAGGGATATTTGGGAGTTGAAGCCCACATATCTTAGAGTTGCTGAGATTGAGAAACTCTGGTCTAGAATATCTGTGTGTGAATGGAAGGGACTCATGAAAGGGGCAAGTCAATACTACTCTGGCAAATCTTTTTATGAGGATTGGGTTGTTCCAAGAGTTACTAACGATAAAAGGCTCTATATTATGGCTCTCCACCCAATTTCTTTATTGTGGCTACTCTTAAACTATTTTTTATCCCATTCATGCAGGTGAGCAATAAAGATAATGGCTTTTGCTGTCCTGCACTGCTCATCTTATAAAATGGGGCCATTACCCAGGGCCATTACCCTGCAGAGTCTCTTTTCTGATGTGGCCTAAAAGCAATGAGAATCCTTTTTTCTTCTTACTTTTATTTCTAGCATCCTGGAACACGTTGAATTTGGTTCTTCTAGGTTTCTCTTTAGGGATACCGAAGATTGTCTGGAAGCAATTTTTTGTTTTCTAAACTGTCCTTGAAAAGTACATCTCTCACTCATATTCCAGTTTTGGGGGTACCCCTTCTCCCCTTGAAAAAAGAGATGACCCTAATGTCTCTCACTACTGATGGATTGTCTGCACAATACCGGATTATGTTAATGCCAAGAACATTAAAATCAACATCTGGAAAGTCAGCAGGAATTAATAATATACCTGCCATGATCAAGGCTGCAATACAGTCATTCTTCCCTCTTATTGCAGCCTTCATAAGTGCAGTCAGGCCTCTGTCATCCTGCATCTCAATGTCTACTCCTGGGTAATAATTCAGAAGATAGTTCAAAATAGTTAGGTGTCCTTTGTGGCAACAGAGAAAGAAAGGGAACAATGTTAGGAATGCACTGAAATCTTCAAAGAAAGATACTCATTACAGTGTAAAGGCAGCATCAATCACGGAGAATTCACAGTTCTACTCTCGGGACATATTCTTAATTTTGTTTGATTTTTCATTTTGTGCAGACCCCCCATCGCTTTTGGTTTGCAAACAGTTTATACTTAGTTCCTTCCCATAGGCAAAAAGTCATCAATGTGTGTATAAATGAACTGACTGACAAAACCCCTACATCTGAGACCCTTTGTGGTTGTAAAAAAAATAGATTCACTGTGCTTTATGTTAAATCCTAAGACCCCCATACCACTTTAAAATATCACATATTGCCCCAACCAGAGCCAGTTAGCGCACAAACTGGAAACTCAACCCAATCCACTTATTTCCAAGTGCACATTCAAAAGCCACCCACCCCACCCCCACCCCAGTAAATGCATCCTATGAGAGATGCAGGACACAAAGTTCCAACAGTGTTGTTGTTGTTTTCATTAAACATTGTTCTGGATAAATAATGGTTTTGAGCAAGGGAACGAAAGTAAGGGAAAAGTCCTTATTTTTGTATAATTTGGAACCGTATTCTTCAGCTTGCTGTTTTTTAAATTCCGATCAAACATCCTGCCCAGTTTGAATCTTTTATGTTCCTTGATGTCCCTTGTGTCTCGGCTGGTGTATGAAAATAGTAACTTTTCCTACCTGCTTGGGCTGCCACCATAAGTGCTGTGTTTCCATCGTTATCCTGGTGGTTGACATCTATGTAGGAGCATTTACTGAGAAGAATGACAATATCTTTGAAACCCCGGAAACATGCTACCAAGAGGCCATTCTGGAGAGCAAGAGGGAAAACGTTAAGATCCAACTTCCAGAGTACACAATATCCTTCCCTATCCATCCTTTCAGGTTTTGAGGTGTATGATCCCAATAGCTTGATGGTTGCTGCATCATGGCTAACCCTATTGCAATAAGGTCATCCTTCTGAGCTTGTTCAGTGGCCATCTGAATATCATGCAGAGACTGGCTGCCATGTAGCAAAAATGCTTTCCCATCACCATAGAACTAAGGAGAAACTTCCTGACAGAACAATTAACCAGTGAATGCTCCAACACTGGAAGTTTTCAAGAAAAGACTGGACAGCCATTTGTCCGAAATGGTATAGGGTTTCCTGCCTGAGCAGGGGGTTGGACTAGATGACCTCCAAGGTCCCTTCCAATTTTACTATTATTATTATTATTA